GGCAGGCCTGCTCTACCCGAATGTCGGGGGCGGCGCTCAGCCGCAGCGCACGCGTCCTGCCCAACCTTGGGACTGGTCACACAACGCTGCCGCGGCCGCTCGGGACAACCGCTGCATGCACTGTGGAAGACGCTGACCCAGGATGGAAAGGCCAGCTGGGAGGAGGCAAAAACTCTGTCTACATTCCTGAAAGACAAATTTAAAAATTCAGACATTTTGGAAAACTAGCTAGGGCTGCTCTTGGAATTGAACAAGTGCACACAGGGTGAAACAGTGCTAGAAAATGGCCAGCCTGGTCCCTCGGGGTGGGTGGGACTGCCCCGGTTCTCCCAAGGGAGGGCCTGCTTCTCGCACTGCGCCACTCCAGCGTTTCCCAAGTCTGCTCAGACGGCAGTGAGGTTCCGAACTCGGCTGTGTGCATCTGCAGGAGCAGCCCGCGCCAGGTGAAGGACAGGTGCCCTGGCTACAGGAGCTGCAAACACCTTCACCAGTCACTAAGCAGCTCGCTCACTCATTCTCCACAAGTCCCAATATGCCCTGGATAAGCGGCGTGGGAGCGGCCTGGGCCCGGCTGACAGGGAGGCCATGCGCACCCAACCCCTACCTGTTCAGCGGCCAGTCCCAGTGCACGCGGCCTCAAACGCCAGCGTGGTCAGATGAGAAGCAGAAACTCAGTCACATCAGCTGTAGATGTCACCGCACTGCAAGTTCCGCAGAAGTAAAACAAGAAGCCTCACAAAGCTACACCTATTCTGCAGAACGATTTAAAAGGAAACGATAACTCGGCGGCCCCAGTGAGCCCCGGGGATGCAGGCTGCTGACTGCGGACACTCCTCCCAGCACGCAGCAAAAGCCGGCTGGGAAGGCGGACAGACGCTCGTGGAGAGGCCCACGCCGAGCAAGCTCCGTAACTGCTTTAAGCTTCAGGGTCTCGTCTGTGCAAGCAGAAACGGGAACCGCCCTGTGGGTTCCTCGCCGTGACCGCAGATGATGAGCAGGAACCCTGCGCGTGCAGAGCCTGGCGCTCAGAAAGGCGCTTGCCGCAGCGAGGGGGGGGGCTGAGGACAAGTGCCCGTCACCGCTCAGCCTCAGGTCCTAAGGACCACGAGGCGGGAACCACCACGACCGCAGCAAGGACCCCGCCCGCCTTTCGGAGAGGAAGCACCGCTTTCACGTTCTCCATGGATGCCGTGGTGCACCGGGTTTGCCTTCCAGGCCTCACCTCCGTGACCTCGGCGCAACCCAGAGCTGCGGAAGGGACAAGGCGCAGACGACGCCTACTCATCGCTTTCTCACCTTCAAGCCTCCAGGGAACTTTCCGGGCACTTTTTCCCAACCGTCTCCCTCCGCCCCAGCTGCCCATGCTGCACGTGGGCCGAGGGTCTCTTTGTGCACCACCCGTGCCTTTGGGGATCACAAACACCGGTCCACCCATGACTTCACGACCCCCAAGTACCAGCGCCACCCCTCGGGCAACACCTTCCTTGCTGCGGACCCAGGGGTGAATGGACTGCGTGTGCACAGGGTGCGGGGCAGCCACAGCAGCAGTGATCCCAGGTGGTGTGGAGCCCGGGCATGCCTGGAGAGGAGGGGCCGTCCCACTCCCGGCACAGTCAGGTCCTGGCCTCACAGCATCCCTTCGTGTCCCCAACAGCTGGGTCTCGGCCACAAGCCAGCTTCACGTCTGAACACGCACTTCAGGGGAAGCACACGAGGCTGCACTGGTCTTAGGAAAGCAAGTGGCACTCGAGGGCCACCGTCAGGAAGTGGAGCCACGGGCAAAGTTGTGTGCGGCTTGGTGTGGGAGCTTTCGATGTGGAGACTGAGACGGCCAGGCGGGCCCCGTGAGCGGGCAGCGAGAAGGTGGCAGGACAGGCAGGGAGCCTGAACGAAGCGGGGGTCCGGCTGTGCAGTGACCAGCATGCAGGCTGCTGAGAGCGGCCTTTGGACAGGGTGCAGCTCCAGCCCCAAGGGAACTGAGCCTGCTGGGTCAGGTCTTTGATTTTTTTTTTTTTAGGTACTGGAAATAGAACTCAGGACCTTGTGCTCGCCAGGCAGGCACTTGTGCTGCTGGGCTATTTCCCCAGCCCCAGGTCTTTGGATTTTCTGAATTTTATGTGAAATCTAATTTCTAAACATGGGTTCAAAGAGTTTTAAACTTTAGGGGCTAAAAAGAAACGCACCTACAGGCAATAGGAGGCTGCATTATGAACTCTACTTGCAAACGATCGGCAAGAAAAAGCCCGTCTCCTGTGAGGACTGAGGCTGGGCCTCGATGGGCCTCAATGGGCCTCTCAGCTGCCCTGAAAGATCACTGCAGGGAGCCCAGGAGGAGCCTCCCAGGCTGGGCACACCCTAACTCAACAGACCACAAGTCCGGGGCACAAAGATGGCTGAGATCTGGGGGAGCAGCGCGCTCCAGCCCTAAAGAGGGGCAAGCAGTGCTCTTCCACCCCCGCCCAGGAATGTGGGGCTGTATTTCAGGATGCCACATCCATGAGAAGCTCTTAGTCACCACTGATTTTACCCACTCTTACCCATTTAGTGATGGCACATTTTCTACCTAGACAAAGCAACATCGCCAAACTAGTTAGTACTCCCTGCATAGAAATTTAGAAATTCCTACAACAGGTGAGCCAAACACCTAAGGTTTCCGCCAGTGTCACATCACAGGCGTTTCCGGGCACCTCACAGGGGCCTGTGGGGGCTCGGTGGCTCAGGCGCCGTCCTCGGAACCGCAGAGCCTCCCAGACGCGAGCCCAGCTGTGTGCCCGGCTGGCTGCGTCCAGGTACCTTTGTTCACTTTCCCTGTCACAACTGTAATGAAGAATTACTAACGCACAGCCCTGTGTGACTGGTGAACATAAATTCAGCAGCGCAGCGTCACCCAGACACGGGCACAAGGTGGAAAAGGCGAGGCAGCGAAGAGCTGGGGAGAGCTGGGGAGAGCTGGGGCGAAGGTCAACGGCAGGCACACCCAGTGCCGAGGAAATGGCCCGGCTTGTGAGTCCTCAGTGACAGCCTGAGTGACAGGAACACATGTTCCCGAGATCTGTGGCTTCCTCTTAGTGATAGCAGAAGTTAATGTGAATGTTTCATTAAGCGCTGAAAACTGAAAAGGCAAATCGCTGGTTCTCGCTTAGCCGTTAGATCCTATCAGCACACCCTACTTCTGATAATACCGACATAAAAGATAGTAAAACTCATAAATCAATGGGCTGTCTGTGTCCGGGACTTACCCCACTCACCTGGGCAGCTGCAGGCCCAGATATTCTGCTGAATATCCTTTAGGCTACACAGGGCCCCAGGGCTGACCCATCTTGGACCAGGAGCCAAGACAGCAGGCCTCAGTCCTAACAGGGAACAGGTTTTCGGATTTTCATCTCACATCTCTCTAAGTTTCCAACTTCCTCGTTGCTGCAGAACTGAGATGGGCCTGTTGCTGAAGTCTACAGTGAGTCGGTTTCTGTCCTGGACGGGGCCGGGGTGGGGCCGGGGTGGGCCCGAGGAGGAAACCCAGGCAGAGCAGGAGGGGCCTGGAGGCGGCCGGCCTGTGCTGCTGAGGAAAGGAAATCTGCACCACTTACAGCAAGATGAGAACAGGTGGGTGGCGGCGAGCCTCTGAGGCGGGAGAGTTGGGACAGCCTGTATCCTCTCGTCTGAGCTTACTTGTTCCGACGCCCTAGATACTGTCGTTTATGAGGCAACACTGACTGCTGGTGGGAGTGTCCCTTGAACTTTTCAAATAAACCTAATTTCCAAAATAAATTTTCAGTAAACCTATACTGAGCCTCTCTTTAATTTTAAGAAAGGAAAATCTCCAAGTCTGGTTCAAAGTTTGCAGGGCTCCGAAGTTGGAGGGCCCTGGGCTCGATTAGGTCCCGGAGGGGAGAAGGGAGGACGAGGCACAGGCGGCAGGTCTGCCACTTCCTGGCGGTGCTGTGCGCCCTCCTTGTCCCCCACCAGGGGACACTGCAGAACCCTGAGGAGCCCGAGAGTCTCCGGGTGGGGCATCTGCTGTGTACCTCTGGTGCTGGAAGCTGACCACGAGGGCAGGAAAGCGTGCACTGAGGCGCCTACACCTGGGTGAAAAGTGCTGCGGTGGCCCCTTAGTTTCTGGCTCCTCCTGGGCACGGGAGGTGGAGAGCAGGGGAGGCCGCTGACCCCTAGGGGCACACTCTCCATCACCTCCAGCAAAGCCTTGCTGCCATCCCTTCCTTCCTTCTCCTCTGCTCTTCCGATCTCAACACACACACGCACACACACACACGCACACACACACGCACACACACGCACACACGCACACACACACACGCACACACGCACAACTTCTGCTTCCGCTCCCTTCCGTCGCACAGGAGACTCAGAGAGGTCTGACAGGCCCTCTTGGTGGCTCTGGGCTCCAGGCCGCCTCCCGGGCCGCCACAGGAACACAAGTGAATGCCTCTTCCTGAAAGCCACTGCTTCAGATCCCAGAGAGACCCGTAAGCTCAATACTTTCGGAAAGAAAAATGATTGACAATGACAGCAAACACTACGCCAACAAAACCTGCTACCCAGGCAAGGGCAGGTTTCCTCAAGGAGGAGACCAAAGGCAGCATCAGATCATCTTAAAATTCTAAGAATCTCACACTTTCTTCCAGAAGTTCAGCTGAGTGCCTTAGGTCTGGTAGCTCTTTCTGTTCATCACCCTAAACAAATGCTCCTTGAAGAATCTGGACCCCAAAGTTACTTAGTTTTCCATGAGGGAACAAACCAACGGGGAGATGTGCTCCTCCCTCCCCGGCGCCGTCGTCACACCCTCCCGGTGCCATGGCACGGGAAAGCAGACGTCCCTGGCATTCGACGTCGGGGTCGCTTTCCTCTGTGCACAGCGCACACGTGCCCGCCGTGCCCGCCGTGAGACCGGTCCCCTCCGCGGGAGCAGGGCAGAGCCACCTGGGCCCTCGGCAGCTGCCGCAGGCCTGGGGGCGGGGCCAGGGACGCGGAGGGGTGCTGACCTGCACGGGCTCGGGCGGAAGCTGGACCACGTGCTGCATGCGCTCGCTGTGGTGGTGCCGTGACTCCTCCTCGTAGATCACGTCCCTCTCGTGCTGGGGGAGGCTCAGGAAGCGGCGGATGGTGCAGAGGTTCTCCCACAGCGTGCGGTTCTCCGGGCTCGGGTTCTCCTTCCAGCGGAGCAGCTCGCAGAGCCAGCCCTGCAGAGAGGGGCACCAGTTAGCCACAGAGAGGACAGCAGCCCAGGCAGGCCTGGACGCGGAGGGCCACGCCAAAGCCTGGGAGTCCTGTCTGGTTTGCTACCTTACTGCCCTTCCGACAGAGCACATTCTCAGTGAGTTTCTTACAAAGCACTTTCTAGATCTTCAGGTGAGATCACAGTTCCCTGATCACCGGAAGTGATCTGCAGTGGTTGGCTACCGTTCTTAGAAGTCGCCCAACTGGCCAGAGTCCCACTGAAGACAAGAGTGATGATGACCCAACGGATACTAGGAGGCGACAAATTCTGAGGAAGAAGAAAGTCCAAGTGCAAACAGCACTGACTTTCTCTGGGGGAAAATACTCGTGCAGTCATGAGTAACCACACACGACAGAAACGACAGCCCCAGCCAGGGGATGGCAAAGGTGCCCCTGGTCAATCTCTGAGCGCCCTGGAGCTGCCCTCGTCACCACCCTGCCCAGCATGGCCACACCTGCAGGAAGGCGGCCACGGGCAACTCACACCTGCACAGGTCTGCCTCCCAACTGGCGTCCGGATGTTCCCACTCCTGCAACTGCAGGAGAAAGAAAACGCAATGCAAATAATGATGGATGATATGAAAATAATACAGAGGATGCTGTCAACATCGCTTCCTGACTCCTGTCAAAATATTGTACCCGGCCGCTTTCTAACCCGTCATTTCCCAGCCACATCGTTAATTTTAAAAACAAGCACTGTCCCACATTGCGCCTCTCTGCGAAGGAGTAGAAATCTCTCTCAGAAGGTGCCTAAATACACACAAACTGGCTTGGTGAGAAATAAACCCCAATCTCAACCAGTCCTGCATCACCGCTAGTGAGCCGACGCAAGGCCCTGACACGCATCGCAAAAGCCCCGTATAATATCCTAAGCCGCTGTTTGCCTAACTCTCCACTGTGTCTTCTGCCTTCACCCAAAAAAAGGCAAGATTTGATTATCTCCGCTGCATCGGCCAAGACAGCAACACCAGCTGTTCTCATTGTGCAGCCCTCTCCTCGCGGCCTCCATGTTAATAACCTGATCATTCCATTTTCCCCTTCAACTGCCGGCTGCAGCACCGCGCCGAGACAAAAACCCAGGCCCATCTGCAGCAGCTGTAGGCACTGAACTGTGAAGCCACCGGGGATTTATAAACTAATCTGTAACACAACACTGCCTTGTTTTTACAAGTGAGAGGCCACATTTGCGCAGACCTGATCTTTTCTTGCAATAAACCGGGAGCTTGGGAGAGTTGGAGGCTGAGGAAGATGAAAACAAGACACCTCACCATTTGTGGGGAAGAGCTTTCCTTGGTGTTTTCATAGTTGTTTTTTTCGACTCAGTTAAGAGGGGGGTGATGGTTCATTTTCAAGGTGCCATGTGTATGAGGAATGAAGATAAATTTTTTTAGCCTGACCAGAAAATAAATTATATTTGAAAAATCTCCTGATCCCAAAGTGTTTTCTCAAGGGTTTTTTCATACAAAGAAAAGAATTCTTGAAATGGAAAATAAACCATCTGTGGAAAAATACGCTCCTATTTCTCCGTCTTTTCACAGATCTGAATAAGTCTCCAACTGAACTCTTTCAAATGTTTCAGACAGGTATGTTTAACATCTCCCAGGGGAGGTGGGCGCATGGAGACCCATCGCACAACGGAAAAGAAAAACAAAACCCTGCATCTGTTAAAGAGACAGCCAGACCTGCAGGCAGGCGGCACCTGCTGCTTCGCTCTGGGGACGGGCAGCACTGTGGGACGCTGCGGCTTGAACGGGCACAGGTGACATCCAGTGGCACCTCCACTGTGACACTTCGAACGTCCCGTGCAACATCCACTGCCACGTTTCGTTTATCTGTTCTGCCGTCACACACACCACGACAGTCCCACAGGACAGTGCCCGGGCCTGCGTACGGACGGCGCGGTCTGCGTCAGTCTTGGAGAAGCGTGGCACTCCATTTGCCCACTGACAAGCAAGGGCTTGACCTTGAAGCTATTAGGGAGCGGATTAGACACAAGTGTGATCATGTGTGCAGACATAAGCAAACCAAATTAATTTCTGGCACAGAGAAGTGGCCCGCGAGCCCCCGTTCTCAGGCACTAGCGAACTCCCTCAAATCCCTGACGGAGCCGAGCTAATAGCATGTTTCAGGGACCCCGGCTTGGAAGGTGGGGCACATTCATGGTGTTTAGAGGGTTATTAATCTAGTTTCCCACACAGTGTTTGCTTGGCTGATCAGATTAAGGGATGGGGCCTTCGATGGCACCCCCACCACGGCGAGCCCCAAGAAATCTGAGAGACTTCCCAGCCTTGGACATATTGCACCATGTGTACCCAGCTGCTTCAATAATTAGCTTATGAATGTATCAGCTGGCTCTGTGATTTATAAATAATAACTAACCTACAGAGCAGAAAGACTGTTGAGAGCCTACTGGAGCACAACACAGGAAGGGATCTGGACGCCCACCCGCTCCGCTCCCGAGTGCTGCTGTCCCACCAGTGGAGCCCCTGTGCTGTCCTCTATAAATATTTCTGCCTGAAACAGTGGTGTATTTTCTGGTGGTTTTCTTCACAGCAGCCATGGTCTGCTTTCTCCTGACTGACTCCACTGCACCCCACAACCCTGTACACCTCTCTTCAGGAAGCCCGCCCTCCCACCTCACTCTCCGTCTCACCCGCCATCTTGGTACTTCTCTCTGTCTGCTCGACAGGGCCTCTGGTTAGCTCTGGTGGCCAATGAATGTCTCGGGGGTGCTGCCTGCTCACACGCGTGGCTGTGAGAGAACCCGCCGTAGCAGAGAAAGGTCCCCTTCCTTGGGACTCTTTTCATTTATATAATTCTTGCATGCCATCCAAGAAAGTTTTGCAGTATCAGGCAAAAAAAAAGTGTAAATGTCAAATAAAACAGTGACAGATGACAGTATTCTCTATTGAATAGCACTGTTTCTGTCGTGCATGTTCAATGGGAACTCATGAATTATTAATAAACAAATCTCCTTTTTCTGTTAAAAATCTCAAGTAGGGTTTCTGTTGTTGTTCCCTCTGTGTTCTGTGGAGCATTCCAGGAGAATCATTTTCATTTCAGAAATGTTGATCCAGAAGTTCACCGGAGTCCCAGCCATGCGGGCTCTGCGAGTGGACACCGTGGGCCACAAACTCTCTGCGGCTGCAGTGCTGGCCAGAGACCGGCTGAATACTCATGAGTCAGTGTGGTGAAACTGGGAGCGAGTGAGCTACCGGTGCTTGAGCACAAGCAGGAGGTGGTGAGACCACCTAACACGCAGCCTCCGGGCTGGCTGCTCAGTCCCTTCTCTAGCGTTGGGTAACTGGGTGGCCTTAGGGTGGGCAGCTCCCTGCCGGAGCTCCTGGGTGCTCCACTGTAAGGAGAGGTGCTCCCAAAGATGGTCTGCAGCTCCCCCGCTCCACTCTCCAGGATCTGCCCCTTGCCAGTCACCACAAGCAGCAGACAGTGAGCAGGCAGCAGGGTTGAAAGTGCTAAGGAGACTCCACAGTGACACAAGACGAACATCACCACAGAGGACATGGGGACACTGCCGAGCACACAGCATCACGCCGGGGTGGTCTTGGCCGACCTGCGGAGCACCAGACACAGCCAGCCTCGGAGGTATTTGACAGCATCATCAAGCTACACAAGGCCATGCAGGGCAAGCTCGGCAGACTGCAGACACAGGGAGGTGAGGGGGAAGTCACAGCCACACGCAATCTGCTGGTGGGGATCCTGGCCTGGACACTGGAGCCAGCAGAGAAGCCGGAGGAATCAGACTGGGGCTTTAGTGAACAGTCTGGAAACCGTACTGATTTCCCAGTTTTGATAACTGCACTTTATCAGTACCTATGCTGCGGTGATGTACAGAGCCCACACTGGGGGAAGCGGGAGAGGACGCACAGGGCAGCGCGGTCACCCCTTCCACAGCCCTCCCGCCTTACCTGTGAGTCTAAAATTAGTTTAGGGTACACAGTTCTGAAAAGACAGAGTCCCTAGAACTTATACAGGATGATACACATGGAGCCTAACCGTGGCGATGCCAAGGAATTCACCAATAAAACTTCTTAGCCTCAAATCTAACCCCAAGACAGAACCGAAGTCCAAAGACCGCTCCCTCGCGATCGGTGGCTAAGAGGTTCCTGAACACCCGGCGCGCACACAGGTGACACTCGCTAACGTCTCATCTTAGCTTCCCCATCAGCTCCTTAGGCAAACACTTCTCCCTCAGCAGCGAAACAACCCTGGCCGCCTTTCCGCCCAGGCAGGTGAAGCAGCCCCAGCAGTCACGGTGTCATCCCCTCACCGCCCTCGTGTCCCCGAAGCGCTGCAGGGCAATCTGTATTTACGGAGCGAACCCCGCTGCACACGCATCAGGACTCCAGCCACTCGAAGCAATGTGCCGCTAATCCTCTGCGGAAGATGCACAGTAATGCCAGTTTACCTTTTGGGAATCTGATGGTTTTATCACCGAGTTACAGACAGCAGGCTCATAGTCCAGAGCACGAGGGGAGACAACAATAAAACCCCCACTTGCTCCATTTCTCCTTCCTGACCTTGCCCCCCCCCACAGCAAATACCCCCAACCTCATCCTCCAGCCCCCTGGAGTGTGCACAATATTCCCACCGCCTGAAGCCTGCCACACTGCTCCTTGGCAGGACCTCTGAGCCTGGAGATGCTGGGCTTCAAGGCCCAGCTGCCAGGCTCCCCTCCGACCTCCTGTGAGCTCTGCTGGCTCACACTGCTGGCCCCGATGCCCGCTGTGTACCTGCTTCCACAAAGCGACAGTGGCCCCTACGTCCCGACAGATTAGGTGCTCACTCCCTCATGTCAGCATTTTCAGGGTAGACTAGGGGTCTGTGCACACAGAAGGTGCTCTATAGAAGTGCACTGGATTCAGCTGAAATTATTAGAGTACATAAGCATCAGCTTCGAGTTCAGAGTGATGTGGGAGAGGCACTGATTCCAGACACAATGCTG